CTTTACTTCTATTTTTAGTTACTATTTCTATTTTTAATTGTTATCTCATTGTCAATCAAATTCGTTTTACGTATTTCCGCTATCACATCATACAGCTATCTAAGTACCAGCTTAATTCTATGTGAATTCCCACTGCACCTGAAGAAGGCTGGTTTGGCCAGCCGAAATATAGTGCTAAAGATACTGACGCTGATCCAAGTTTACCATGAAATTTCGAATGTTTGTGTACTCAAATAGGTTTGAATACAACGTTTTCAAGCTTTGATTAATTTTAACCAGAGCAAATCTGTAGAGATTTAAGAATCCATGATATTGTGGCTGACAATCCAATCTTTGAAAAAAATTACAGCTGAACTTTAGCAAGTTCATTTAATCTCTCAGTGCAGTTAACTTAAAAAAATCAGCCTACCTTGAACGAAATACATAGTTTGTTTGCTAACATACTAAGGCATTACAAACAATTAAAATAAGAAACCAATTTATGGAGACTTTTTAAAGGTTAATGCGTTTAATTATGTTCCATTAGTTAAACAAATCAGGCTTGCTGGAAGCAATATGACTAACGCTGGCCGTGTTGAAGTTAACATTGCTGGAGTCTGGGGTACAATCCGAAATAGGGGCTGGAATCTTACGTCTGCACACGTGGCGTGCAGAGAGCTCGGTTACCCAGGAGCTGAAACTGCCATCTTGTTCGCTGTTATACCCTTTGGAAGAGGGGAAGGACCTGTCTGGATGTCAAACCTCAAATGTCAGGGACATGAAAGCTCATTATGGGAATGCTCTTGGTCCAGGATTGCTGGCATCTACTGGGATCATGACAATGACGCCGGTGTTGTTTGTCGCCTAGAGGACCCCAGTGAGTACAAGCGTGGTTCATATTTTTCCTTATTCTCCCCAGGAAACCGGTCTCTCGCAAGTCTTCTTCCGAGGGGTAGCCCCCAGGGGTAGCCGTGAAACGGTTCTTTATCTGATTTTGTCGCAGACCCCTCGTAACATTCTGCTTAAGACATCCCTGACCACGCCTGTCCAATTTGGAGAAGTTTTCTTCCTCCACTTTTTTATTCCACCTTTCGCTTTAGTAATCAGTAAATTGCCGTCCAAAACAAAATAACTCATAAGTCTATAAATTTTAATAGCTTTATTTTGTTGGCTTTCACTTACCTTTTCTGTGCTGGATTATCCATGCTTGGACCTCATTAGTTTGTATGTTTTGTTCACACATTTTAGGTCTCAAGGGAATTCTCCGCTTTTTCTCTTCCTTGTGAATGGGAAGAAATTTATAGGAAACTGTTCTCTGGAGTATTTAATACTGCATGACTTGAAGTGGGTAAACCTAACTTATTGCACGACTCAGGCAGTCAGAGGGCCAATAACTAAAATCAACCAATCAAAATGCTCTATTGCCGGTCAATATTCTCTCCGTATTGGACCGGGCACTGCCCCGAATGGTCCCGAATGATACCGCACTTGTGTCCCTTTGAACTTCAGTCGTATAATAAATCTATTAATATCCGAGCTTGCTCGGGACCGTACTGGAAGAATATCGGCCCTCGGTCTTTTTTGTATGGACCGAGCTGCGCTCGGTCNCCTCTGGGGCTGAATAGGGACTTTAAATTAGGTGAGAAAACTTGAATCAACCCAACAGCGTTTTCGCATCAGTCACTTATTGCCATGAACTTTTCTCAGATATATAAGATCACGAACTTGTATCTCAAACCACATTGACCCACTGTTTGATTAGTGAAATAGTCTTCTTAGTCCACAGAAACTGGCCAGTCAAATCCAGGATTTGAAAGAACTGACTCTTCTTACCCAGTTAAATTAGACTCCGATAACAACGATTCCTCGGTGGACTGGTGCGAGATTTCAAGAGATAGTCTTACTCTCGGAGAGAAGTTTGGAACAGAATCTGACGGAGGAACGTTTCGAGGGAAACTTTCTCTTGTGAATGGAAATATAGCAAATTGTATCGTGAAAACAGCTAAGGGTATTGAATCATTGACCTCTTTTTGTCTTTTCCAGATATAGTGCTAAACACTTCCTCTCAGCATAAACGGACAATTGCTCTGAAAAGGTCAACTTTTAACAAATCTAATCCGAATTTTTGAACAAGAAATACCGTTACACGGGGTGTTTCTTGCGTGTCTTCGATTTGGTTACATTTCCTTTCAGATATTCATGGAGGAGATAATTTGAAGCGCAAATTGATAAGACTTTCATGCAGACGTAATGATTGCTACTGATGGCCGTCCAATCATGGCCATTGAGCGCATTGCAAAATCAGCTAAGAACTACATCCTTTTCATTTTTCCAGATTCTAAAGAAAGTCGATCATCAGATAGCGAGAATGGTCTGTTAACTGAACTTAAAATCTTAAGCTGCTTGGGAAGCCATCCCAACATACTCAACCTCTTCGGGGCTTGCACTTTAAAAGGTGAGAGTCTGGTGACTAGAATTCAGGTAAAATGTAATGGCTCATTTCCGTTTTCCCAGTTCAATTACTTTGGCCTCTTTTTCAAAGTGAATCCTGGTGTTCACCCTACTAAATGATGATGAGTTTTCATTCACATGCGAATTAAACTCATTTTCATAAGAATGAATCAGCACTAGGTCTCGTTTTGAAAGAGAAGTTAGAGGTAATTCGAAAATAGCCTATCGGGACACTTTTATGCACAAAGGCTCATATGACATATGTGTTTTACATATCTGAAGAATTATACCCTTAAGAGCGTTACAAGGTCATAAGAGTTTGAAAAGGGTTCTAATAACTATATTGACTTCCTAAAATTAATAAGGAAGTGAAATATTGAGAATTCCGTAAGTTTCAAAAGATTCCTTTCACATCTTGGTTGGTCAATGAGAAGATAACTTGTAATGATCCTGAAGCGCCGAAGCTCAGCTTTTACTGGCGACGCAAAAGCAAGCATAAGAGTCCATAAAAATTCTTAAAAGCGCAACCACAGGGCTGAAAATATTTTCGCTTCTTTTCTTGTATTGCCATTTCTCGTTGTTTTTTATGGAGTCGTGTACTCGTGCTTGTGTTGGCGTCGTTCAACATAGTACGCATCAAGCCGCAAGTGAGTCAATCAAAAACTAAGTCCTCAATTGCATGGTGAAAGCGATTCCTTAAAATTGAACTGCCTGGGCTGAACTTAGCTAGATCAATGGTGGTGGGATTGTTCTTTCTCGTACAGTTTGAAGTTATTAAATGCAGATTGTACAGCAAACTGATGGTGTCGTCTCTCTTCAGGTCCTACGTATCTCGTCTTTGAGGAAACGGAAGATGGCAGTCTTTTGGAATATCTTAAGAAAAACCAAATGAGTGATGAAATGAATTCTACTCGAAACTTTTGCACGTTATCCAAAGTGGAAAAATTAAAAATAGCTCTTGATGTGTCCAACGGAATGAAACATATAGCAGAGAGAAAAGTGAGTGGAGAAAGCGTTTGGTCTCAAGTTCGATGTTTGCTCACAATTGATGAATGTTTTAGCCTACGAAGCAAGCCCTGGGGGAAAGGTGGGGGGATTGGGGGGAGCGGAATGCGCGCACATTCTGCTCGCCCCAATCCCCCCTCCTTTCCCCCAGGGCTTGCTTTGCAGGCTATGAATGTTTCTTCCCTTCCTACCCTCGCTCGCAACCCATGCAGTCAAATTGTCTTGTTATGATAGTATCGATAGAGAAATTTCAACCGAGTGTGGAAAGTATTTCGGAATTGCCTTGGTTTTGCGCTTCTTCGCTCTGTGATTGGTCGATCCAGAAAACTGGCGCCAATCTTCTTCCAAACTCAAATTCCTCGCGACTGGGACACCCATGTTTTTTCCTGCGCTTCAAACTATTAGCATCCTTTTGCGTTGAGCTCTCATTTGCTCCCTGTGACTGTTGTGGTGTATTTGATTTGGTTTTTTGCGACACTCCATCGGAATCAAGGAACTAAATTTCTCTTCTATTTTTTCTGCTTATATTTTTGGTGGAAGTGTATTCATAAAGATCTCGCTGCCCGAAACGTTCGTCTTGGTAAAAACTGCACTGCCAAAGTCACTAATATTGGCTGCTTTAGTGGTGACCGCGATCGGACATTCTATGAAGACATTGCAAAGGTATATTAGAAGTTAATCCATCTTTGAGGATTTGTTAAACTGTGGCTACATAACTGCAGCTTTTTTTTTTTTAAATGATACATTTTATTGATGTTTATGTACATCAATTCCTTACCTTTTCAATAGGGAAAGTTACCAGAAGCAAGATGGATGACCCCGGAAAGCTTAGAAACGAAGGATTTCTCGTCTGAATGCGATGTGTGAGTAAAGACAAAAGAGCGTTGTTTATATCTGCAAACACGCTCCCAGATTCTCTCGTCTTTTCGTACTCTCAACGTAGGGGATTGGGAACGAGATTGTTACGTCTACTCTTTGAGCTAAGAGACCTTTGATTTCACATTGTGTAACCTACATTATCATTCAATCATAGATGGTCTTTTGGCGTATTACTTTGGGAGATTGAAACTGGAGGCAAGTACTGTTCGATTCCACAAAGTTTATTTATCTTATGTTTGTTGGGGTGGAGAGTGGAGGATTTGGGGGGGGAGGGATCTTATGGTTTTTCAGGGGGAACAAAAGGGGGGAATTAGTCCTCACCGACTGAGTATTAAGAGGGGACTATAGAAAATTCACTGCCCATCATGACTGCCAACGAAAGGGGTTCCTAATAATTTTACAGAGCCTAAAGGTGGGATCATGTGAATTTTACCAAAATTTTCTGTCTTTACCACCCACCCGCCCTTTCCAGATAATAAATAATGACTGGTTTCGCCGGTCCCTTATATCGTAAAAAATTCTGAGGGCTCTAGAATAAATTAAATATGTAAATTGGAAGCTTTTTTGTGTGGCTCTTTGGTTTCAGGTGATGTTCCTTATCCTGGAATTCAGGCAAGAGATCTGCTAGAAAGTTTAAAATCTGGATATCGTATGGAAAAACCAATGAAAACTTCTACTGTTGTGTAAGTAAGGCTTTCTTAGTTCTATTTTGAATTTCGACTTTCTCAGTAGCAGTAAAAAATACATCTTTTGATTAAAGCCAAATTTTATATTTGTTGAAGTTTTATATTCGTTCAAAGCGCACTGAGAATGTATTTGGAATTGACCAATCGCTATAGGCACAAAAGTCGAATAATAGAAATAACGTACGGCAGAAAAATTCTAAGAAACAGAAAAAGATGGAAAGGTGTCCCCTCGCCCCAATCCCCGGCCAGAATGGGCACCAAGCGGGGGATAGAGGCAAGGAGACCGGCACCGCCGCCACTTAACGCTAGTTTTATAGAAGAGCAACTTTGACTGTTGAGTGTTGAAAGTAATCCAAGACTGTTTTGGTTTTCCATCAACTCGGTCTGATTACTTTGGTTTTGGTTTTTCGACGGTCAATTAAAAAAAAAAACTGGCTCTAAAAGCCAACCTCTTTTTTTTTACTCTTTTCCCGCAGCTATGAATTGATGACCAAGTGTTGGCAGTTCTCAGCCAGAGACAGACCAAAGTTCAGTGAACTATGCATGGTGCTGGACACCCTGGTTACCAGGGAGACCTCTGAATAATAAAATTGGCCCATTATTTCTCTCGAATGATTCTCAATTAAGTCGAGATTTTTATTTCGTTTTATCTTCAAGAGCCAAGTTTCGGCAGGCAGCTCAATTCTCAGCTCATACAGACTCGACTCCCAAGTATTTTGTTGATTACAGCCTTCAAACATTCCCCAGCTGCATTGGTGATCTATCTTGTTTGTCACGCGACTACGCGGCATGGTGATCAATTCGGAAAGTAAAGAAATATTATTCACCATTTCCAAAAAAAAAAATTATAGAACACCACTGAGAATAATTGGCTATGTCTAACAACCACCTAGAGAGAAAAATCTTGATATAGATTCATTTGTTGTACAGTGAAGATATTTACTAAGAAGAGAATGCTTTTCCTGCTGGCAAATAAACTTGACTTAACAGTTTAATTTAAGTCTGAATTTTTGGTCATAGGAACACCTCAGCAGTTGGCTAAAGTTAATAATCATTGTATACGGGTGGGGTGATTGCAGCGTCTCACCAGTCTCCTTTGCTAGAAACCTCAGTTCTTGGTTTGACACAAACTTATCAATGGCTACCCACATAACGAAATTGTCTAGCTCTTGTTTTTATTATCTCTATAATATTCGGCGTTTACGGAAGTACCTCTCTAGACGGTGC